TTATTCAAGTGAAAATAGCTGGTCTCTAATTCAGGCCAATAACTCATGTCTATTAATTTTAATTCCTTGATAGACAGGGTTTTCTTTAATTGGCAAATCAGTAGAAAACAGGAGTCTTGGCATTTACTGGGATTAAGGCATACCTAAAGAAGTCTAGAAAGGAGACTAGCTCTGAACAGTATAAAGTGTGTTTCTAACAACAGTTATTATGTGCTGACTATTCAGATTTTAGGCCACCTTAACAATGATTGTTCAAGAGGAGCTAGTTATGTTTCTTTTTTTCACCTGAAACATAACTTTAACTCTTCTTTTAAGAGCACAGAATGGCACAATTGTCTTTCCCCCTGCAGATCTCTCAGACTAATTTAACTTTAATGAATTGTCATCTAAAAGCATATTAAGGCCACTCTACAGCTTCCAGGGCAGACTTTAAATTTAGTATGTTAACTGAAAAGAATTGTCAACCTTTTAGGGACTAAGTGCTTCTACTTCCTGGAAACACTCAATTAACATTTTCCACATCTGCTTTTATGCAATCAAAGCTCAAACTCTAAATGGGAGAAATTAAGACATTCTAAAGAAACATACATGTCTCTCAACCTGGTTCTCAGAATACTGAAATAATGGACCCCAAAGAAATGGGAATTTTTCCCAAGAATTTCATTCTGGGAGAAGAAAAATGTCCTAACCTGAGAGGTACTTGTTTTTAGTAAAGGGATTCACACAGTTATTACAGCTTATCAGACTACGTTATCAGATGAGACTGAATCCCAGACAAGGATGGCTCATTGGTGAGCAGGACTACATCTTGACCAGGACTGCTCAGATATGCATGTCCTTGGCCCTCTGTTTAAACTTTAATTGTATTTCACCATCCCCACGAAAATTTAGGGTGTTCATTGTAACTCCTTGTTCTTCTTCTCAAAGTGGCTGTAGTGAATAAATTTCCTTTTTCTGATTTCCACTATAAATTTAACATCTTAAATTGGCTTATTCATGATAAGTGGTCGAACATGGTGTGGTGCAAAGGTTGTAAGCTGAAGTACAGTGACAACACTAACCCTGCTAAAGAAAGTAAACAGCATTTCTGCCATTTCATCCCCCTTCCTAGAAAGCTCTGCCTAAAGTACCCCACTGTCTCCTGCTTTCATCTGGCTTTAAACAGGATCGATTTTCTTAAGCTTGTTTTTGACTACTTGAAGGAACTTTCATTTATTCAGAATCCTATAAATTTCTATCCACTAGATAGGCTGTGAAAAAGCATGAATTTTTAAAGAGATGTTCATTTCAGTTCTTCAGTCCATAATCCGTCTTATTACAGAGGAGACAGATACCACTCTTTATGCTAGTCCACAGACCCACTAGTGAAATGTAGCTCCTGCAACCCTTAAAACCTGGGAGAGTCAGGAAACTCTGTTTACTGAATGGTGGGCTGTTGCTTTCCAGGATCCAATCGTGTTAACATGGTATCTTTCTCTTCTAATACTCTCCCACTTCAGCATCTTAAAGGTGTTTATGACCTTGAGCCTAAAACTTTCTTAATGAGACTCTTTTTGGGGTGCTGTTCCCCAGCTTCCTTCCTGTGAACCTCTTATTCTGTGCAACATTTGCACCCTGAAATTTGGGGAAAATTGTGACTCATCCAGCTGTGACCTTAGGCTTAAGAAGCAACATTTTAGGCAGATTCCCACACACTCCGGTGTCAATCACAGTTATATTCTCTACGTTTGATATAATATATAATGATAAGAAGTTTATTATCTAACTTTTAGCCTCATGGGCATATAAAAGGACATGTTGGGAAGCTCTGAAGAGAGTTTAGGCTCCAGCACATCAGAAAAACTTGTAAAAGACAAAGTTAGGCCATATTGGGCTCAAGTCAGTATCTTTTTATAGTTACATGATGAAATTGATTAATTAATAACACAATCTGAACCAGAGTACTTATTGAGGAACAGAAAATGTGACCATCAATATTCCCTTTGATATAAACTCACTTCCCCAAGTGAAAAACATGGCACAAAGAAGTCTGCTAACTAGCTTGTCACAACATCTCAGATGGCTATGTCTGTGTTTGTGAGGGAGTAAGAACTGCTGTAGGAATTGAGGCAAAAGCCCCAGTTTGTTGTGGTTTATAAAATTACATGAGATACATTAGGGCTAGATTAATGAAGGACGCAAAATAGTCCCATGATCAAGCATGTTTGTGCTTAAGGGAAATGTCCACACAATTCTTTCCCTTGTTGACTACATACGAATGCTGTGGCTGTTCCTGTCCTCTACAAAGATTTGCACTTGAATTTTCTGGATATCACAACATATATCTCGAGTTTCATAATGTGGCCCAGGTTACAGAATAGCATCTAATAATGGAGATTTAAAAACCAAGATAAGTTTGTGTTCTTACATTGCATCCTAATCTCTGGTATATGTTCTCTCAATTATCTCAATTTTCCTAAGACTAACAGAAGGATTGCATTTGTATTTACCCAGGAGAATTTTGTGGGTGTGAGAACTGTTATCATATGCAGAGAAATAGCTTAAAATAATAACTTGGTGTTGGCTTAAAGTGCATGGGAGCATTATTGCTGCCACTAATCTATACAAACAGCACCTATTAAATACATGAACTTTGGGGTAAATGAACAGGAAGCTTAGTTGATTATCAACTTTCTAAATACATAGTGATGTGAGGTCCCTAATTTTATGATGAAACATGATTTGTGAAAATTTTTCAATAAAATATTTAAGTATGAGGGCTGGAAAGATGGCTCAGTGGGTAAGGGCAAAGTCAACCAAGCCTAATGACCTGAATTGCATTTTTTAAGATCAGAGTTGTCCTCTCACCAAAACTTGTTTTACTACACACAGACAGACAGACAAACAGGCAGACACCACACACAAACACACACACACACACACACTAAAGTAAATAAAAATTTTAATTTAAAAAAGTGTACTGAGTATGAAGGTAAAATGAAATGAATAGGAAATTCAGTGTTTGTTGGTTGTAATAGGAGGAGAAATTTAAAGTAAATTTGAGTACACAACATCTCAACTTTGTAAATATTAGCTACAGAAAGAACTGTAATTTTCCTTCTTTGTAAGTACTAGTTATTATTCTTGGAATTATCTTAAAAATATGATGTTATCGCTCATACAGTAGAAACTACTATTAATTCATTTGATATGTTATGTGCATATATATTATACATGTATACATACACATATCTACATGGCAGAATGCAAGTGCTGAGAATTACAGTTGGGGTATCATACATGATTATATATGCTATACCAGTCTTATACTGCTGACTTAATTGCAGCTGAATTTTGACACTAGGGCCTTGACTTTTATAGGTCTGTTCTGCAAATATTTGTTAGTAGATTTTTCAGGGTAATTTTTTGCATTTCTTGTGGGTTATTTTGATCACACTATTTTTTTAATTTTATGGATTTCACAAGGGCACTTACACACATGTATATTTTGTGTTTTTACCACATATACTCCATGGACTTGTTATCTTATGCTTCCTCTCTATTCTTCATTCAATGTTCTCTTCACACAAAAAGTTAACCCTCTATTTCCACGCCATCATTTTAAGTGTACAAATATGAGAGAAAGCCTGATACAATTTTGTAGCATTTGGCTCATTTCGTATAACATATGATCATTAGTGTAAACTATTTGTCTTCCAAAGGCATGTTTTTTTCCTAAATATAACAAAATAAAATTTCTTCATCAATCCAATATGCTAATGTATTTTGAAGTGGTAGGCAAATTTAACTGAATATTAAGGTTTCCAAGCAGTCCTTTTGTACAAATAATTTACATAAATGGAATTGGTTTTTTTTACAGGAAATAAAACCACAAACTCTCTATGGCTTTGTATTATTAATATTACATTCTATTATTATTTTCTTTTTCATAATTAAAAATATATATTATATGTATTCAGAATTCTCATGGTGTAATAATTAACAAAATTTAATTCCTAACACTAAAGAGATGAAGTATGATATAAATATTATAAGTGTGAACATGGGTTTTGTGTTGGAACAAATAAAATATAATCTATTATAGATGGCATAATCTTTAGAAAAACTTGTCTCATCTGTCATTAAAATTTTCTTTTAAAAATATTTATTTTTAAAATAATTTTTTAAGTTTTTTAGATTATAAGGCAATTATACTATGTCTTTCTTTCTTTTCTTCTTCAGTGAACCTATCATGTATTCCTCCTACCTTTTTTTGAAATTCATGGACTCTTTTTTTCATAAATTACTGTTAAAAGCATATGTGTATGAGCATGCATATGTGGATACATGTGGATGTGTCTGGTCTGCATGTGTGTCTTTGCTGTATTCATATGTATAGCTCCCTCAGTCTGTAACATGGCATCGCATTTATGATTTCAGGTTTAGAAAACCAATTGATGTGCTATAACAAGGTTAAAGATGATTTCTCCCCTTCTTAGCATTTGCTAGTTTCCAGTATTTCTTAGAACAGGGTTGAGCAGGGGTGTCAGTGAGGAGACAAGATTATGGTTGGGGAAACTCCGGAGACAACTGACCTGAGCTCAGGGACTCCAGATTGACAGCAGAGGAACCTGTATGGGAACCAAATAGTCCCTCTGATATGAGTGACAGTAATGTGGCTTGATCTGTTGTGGGAGCACCTAGCAGTGGGCTCAGGACTTATCGCAGGAGCATGAACTGGTATTCTGAAGCCTATTTCCTATGGTGGGATACCTTGCTCAGCTTCCATTCAAGGGGAAGGGGCACGGTCCTGGCTCAACTTGGTATGCCAGACTCTGTTGACTGCCAAAAGGAGGCCTTACTCCTCTGAGTAGTGCATGGGAAAGTGGGATGGGAGAGGAGGTCGGGCACAAGAAGGGAAAGAAGGGAGAACTGGGGGATTGCTATGTAAAATGAAAAAAAAAGTATCTCCATATCTGCTTGGTTTTCACAGGTTGAATTATAGACCCAGCTCTCAGGAGATGCCACTCACAAACAGCACTGAATTTACAGAATTCATTTTACTGGGGCTCACAGATCGCCCAGAACTCCAGCCACTCCTCTTTGTGCTGTTTCTGTTTGTTTACCTTGTCACTGTCTTAGGCAACATGGGCATGGTGGCCCTGATAAGCCTGAACTCCCGCCTTCACACACCCATGTACTTCTTCCTCAGTAATTTGGCATTTGTGGATCTGTGTTACACCTCAACTGCGACCCCACAGATGTTAACTAATTTCTTATCAGACAAGAAGACCATTTCCTTCACTGGCTGCTTTATCCAGTGCTACCTTTTCATTGCACTTCTCCTCACAGAGTTTTATATTCTGGCAGCCATGGCCTATGACCGCTATGTGGCCATATGTAATCCTCTGCGTTACAGTGTGAAAATGTCCAGACGAGTCTGCATCTGCTTGGCCCTATGTCCTTATGTTTATGGCTTCTCAGATGGTTTATTCCAAGCCATCCTGACCTTCAGCATGACCTTCTGTAAATCCAATGTCATCAACCACTTCTACTGTGCTGACCCACCACTCATTAAGCTGTCTTGCTCTGATACTTATATAAAAGAACATGCCATGTTAATATCAGCAAGCTTTAACCTCTCCAGTTCCCTCACAATCATCCTGGTGTCTTATGCCCTCATTATTGCTGCCATTTTAAGGATCAAATCAGCTGAAGGAAGGCACAAAGCATTCTCTACCTGTGGTTCTCACATGATGGCTGTCACATTGTTTTATGGTACTCTCTTCTGCATGTATGTAAGACCACCCACTGACAAGACTGTTGAGGAATCCAAAATAATAGCTGTCTTCTATACTTTTGTAAGCCCAATGCTGAATCCACTAATATATAGCCTGAGGAATAAAGATGTAAAGCAGTCCTTGAAGACAGTCCTCAGGCAAAATGTTATCAGCATAGGAGTGCTGCCTCCATTTTCCAATAAAGCACAACTATAATTTTATGTCAAAAGTAATTTTTATGCTTAGATCTTTTGTTGTCTTTTTAAAATTTTTCTGTATGTATACAATGTAGTAGTTTTACACGAACCCCTATTTTCACCTGCTCCCTACATAATCCCCCATGTCATTTTCAAAATAATATTACATACATATACACACACACGCAAAACTTGAGAGATAGCTATTTGGAAAATATTTATATTTCCTTATTTTGTGCTGATCTTAACCATATTATTCACAGATCAGTGATAGTCTGTGTACATATTTTGTTTGTGTAGAGTGAGACTCACCTTAGAGTAACACCTATTGGTCTACCAGTTTTAGGTGTTTCCAGAGAAATTAAACTGAGACAAGAATACATATCTAGGAGATGGCAGCCCTATCCAATGGCTTGAGATCCTGAACTTAATGCAAAGAAACAGACGGAAGAATGTACACAGTCATTCAGCTTAAGTGAATGTGAACACAAAGTGACCTACCCACCTCTCCACTGCCTCTGTGGCTTTCCATCATGGGGTATAGGTACCCCCTTAAACCATGAGTGCAAATAAGACCTTCTTCCCTTGTGTCTGCATTTTCTCACATAAAACATCACAGTGGTTGATACAAACTAGTTACATAGATATTACAAAAGCAGCTGTTAAATTTTCATTCACATTTCAAATTTGTATTGTAGACAGATCCCAAGGAGACTGATGCACACATCAGAATTAGAGAATAACTCGTTTAAGTGAAATCTTCCAAGTGCTATGCCAAAGGGTCTGCCTGCAACCCTCCTGGACAATGGTTTACAAGAGTTAACTTTAACTCTTAGTTCAGTTCCTTCCACTGATAGAGTCATAAGCCTTTCTGATGAAGGACACTTAAAAAAATTGGTAACATCTGGACTCACCCAACTGCTTACTGGTTAAAATGAAGAAATGGATCCTGATGGTGCCTTTCTGTTTCTTTTTGATGTACTTGAGTAAAGAGGGTGTCATTTAAGAAGCATGGAACTGATGGATTATGCTTTTGTAGTTGTAAGACTGTTGGTCCTAGTCTCTGTCTTTTTTTTTTTTTTTTTTTTTTTGGTTTTTACGAGACAGGGTTTCTCTGTATTATTTTGGAAGCTGTCAGTCCAGCCCGGCCTAGAATTCACAGAGATCCACCTACCTCTGCCTCCCGAGTGCTGGGATTAAAGGCGTGCACCACCACCGCCCGGCTGTCTCTGTATTTTATAAGCCTGCTTTCTCTGAAGACCCAAGGCTGGCATAATCACTTTGGGTTCATATCACAATTTAGAGAAGGTTGACCTTGGAATAAAGACTAAAATCAGAAAGGAGTAAATACAGAAACTGAATAATCAAATGTTATAACAGATAGTGATTGATTTGAATTTACTATTTCTTCCATGCCAAACTATATTTAGGGTAAGAATTCTTGTTTTATCTTTCATAAGTACACACAACACATGTCATGCTTATATATAGTATGGTATTTGCAGACTACACAAGCAAGGGAATACTTTTCTTTGCCTAAAAATAAATTTCAAAACTAAACTGTACAAATTTGTTAAAATTTCTGAAGACAAATTTGTACTGTTTCGTTTTGATGTTTTAGCCTAAATTAATCAAGGCAAAGACACAGATCAGTTTCACAAAATATCTTACTGTTCAAATGTGCTAAATATATTCAAAAGGACACTGTATTTAACATAAGATAAAATAATACCTTCATTTAATACTTTCTCCTTGCTTATTAATTGTTATATTGCTAAGAGCTCTGTGGATTTTGTTGATATTGTTTGTTTACAATTTGGACTGAAGGAAACAGGGAATTCATCCCAAATATATGGTAACATTTTTCAGAATTATTGTCAAGCAGTGCTAAAATAAAAATCAAGAATCCTGTCTGACGGCTGGGGAAACAGCGAGGGAACCAGCCAAATACCCTGAATGTGGGTGTCACTTAGGGGGCCTGGGTGGTCTATGGAACCTCTGGCAGTGGAAACAGTGTTTATCCCTAGTACACAAATGAACTTTGGGAATCCATCCCCTATGCAGGGTTGCTCTTTCAGTCTGGATGCATGGGGAAAGACCTGGGCCCTGCCCCAAGTGACATGACCAACTTTGATGATCCCTCATGGTAGGCCTCATCCTCCCTGAGGAGTGGATGGGGGGTTGGATAGAGGGTTGTTGGGATACTTGGGACAATGGGAAGGAGAGGGACCTAGGATTGGTATGTAAAATGGAATTGTTTCTAATTTAAATAGAAACATATAAAAAAGAATCTAAGATCATTTGAGACCTTAGGTAACTATGACTATACACTAGAATCATAAGAGGTGCACTTAAATACAAACTTCTTTTGTCATTCACATGAGGAAGTCTTCCTTACTAATTCTGCTAAGCACTTTTATTTTTCTAGATGCCTTAACATTTGTCATTGTCACTTGTGAGTGTGCTTTCATCCATTTTTCACATTTATTGGTTTCATATCTTTATCCTACCCCATTGAACATCTTTAGAGTGATTACACAATGTTGAGAAGAAGACAGATTGACATTTCTCATTCCTCGTCATGGTTGGTTCATATTTACTATATAGCCACACATTATCTATGCTATATACACTTAAAAATCATTTATTATATATTTTCATTGTTCATAATATATTGTGTTACAAAGGGCATTTTTGTAAAATTGTTGATGTACATTGACAGTATTGCTTACCTCCCTGTTAAAATTAATATATTTTGCCTTCGTGATATAAAATCAAATGCAAATTATTATAGTAGCATTGAATTGTCATTGATCGGGAAAGACTGGTGACCTTAGCAATTCTAAATAAATGGTAGAAATAATTAATATCTTAATGAGAAAATGTACTTTTCCTCCCTAGAATTTCTGCCCCTACTAAAACCCCTAAAATCTTCTATGAAGTCCTTTTGTGTCTGATCCCCTTTCTGAGTCAGAAAAGTGTACATTTTCCTTATTTTTCTTTCATATATTCTTGTAGAGATGAGATAGAGGCCAACCCTGCTTTTTCTGCTGCTCTGGAGATTTTTTTCTCTTTCTCTAGAGCTCCGTTCCCTATTTCGTGGCTGTTTGTGCACCATGTGGCTGGCTTAAATGATAGAATGACTAAAACAGCATGACCTTTTCTCCTTTCCTTTTTGTTCTCCTTCCCAAAGGAGCTGCTAGGATTTAGAGCTGGCCTGTCCTTGGGTTGTTTTTTATGTTAACTTTCATAAAATTGTCCTCAAATTTCTAATTAAGTTTATTCTTATGTACTTAAATTAATGAGAATAAGAACCATAAGAGAAGATGCTTATACAGCAACTCTTATGAAACTTCCCTGAGTTTCCAGTAGTAGAATGACGTTAACCATGTCTTGAAAACTTACTTACAATAGATTTTTATGTACAGTAGGAGGTATATGGGCTATTAATTCCATTAGTTGTAAGCATGTTTTTAGTTTTAATGTTAGAATTACACTAGTCTCAATCTCATGATAGGGGAAGGACATCGAAGACAGCCTCTCTACCACTACCTAGATTCTTAGTTGGGGTTATCCCTGTGGATCCCCTACCATTTCCTCTGCGCCAGACCACTCTCCAAACCTGCACTGGCTCCCTTTATCGAGGCATCTCCTTTCTTGGATTCTCCATTCCTCCCCTGTCTCAGTCCTCCTGTACTCCTGCCCCCTTTTCCCCCTCCCCTTTCCATCTCCCTTCTCTCCCCTCCTACTCCCAATTTGCACAGGGGTTCTTGTCCCCCTCCCCTTCTTTGGGGGACCCTGCATTATTTTCTTGGGGTCATCCTTGTTTCCTAGCTCCTCTGGTGGTGTGAATTCTAGGCTTGTAATCCTTTGCTCTATGTCTAAAAACCATATATGAGTGAGTAAATACCATGTTTGTCTTTTTGTGACTGGGTTAACCTAGCTCAGGATGATTTATTCTAGTTCTGTCCATTTGCCTGTGAATTTCAGGATTCCATTTTTTTTCACTGAGTAGTTCTCCATTGTGTACGTTTATCACATTTTCTCTATCCATTCTTCAGTTGAAGGACATCTAGGTTGCTTTCAGGTTCTGGCTATTACAAACAATACTGCTAGAAAAAGAGGTGAACATATGTCCTTGTTGTATGTATGTGAACTCTTTGGGTATCTGCCCAGGAAAGCAACTGTTCCTAGAGTCTTGACCCACTAGCTGATTGAAGCAGAAATAGGCACCCACAGTAAACACTGAGTCATACTCCCAGAATCCAGTTGCAGAGAGGGAGGAGAGATGAGCAAACGAACCAAGACTGTACTGGAGATACCTGCAGAAACAGTTGAGCTGACCTAATGAATGCAGACAAACCCTAGTCTTAAAGTGGGGGAACCAGCATTAAAAGGAACCAAGTCCTCTGAATGTGGGTGCCAGCTATGAGGCCAAGGCAGTCTATGGAACCAGTATTTATTCCTAGGTCACAAATGGACTTTGGGAGCCCATTCCCAATGCAAAGCTACTATATCAGCCCAGATGCAGAAAGGAGGGCCTGGACCCTCCCCCAAATGATGTTATGGATTTTAATGATCCATACAGAGGGCCTCACTATCCCTGGGAGTAGGTGGGGGGTAAGTTGGGGGTTTGGTGGGAATCATGAGTGCATGGGCATTTGAGGGAATAGGAGGATGAATATGTAAATAAGAGTTTCTAAAATAAAATAAAAACAGTAAAAAAAAGAATTATACTAGTCTCCATAAAGAAGGGGATATGTATTCATTCTACATCTATTACTCTATTTATTACATGTTTCTAATTTTATTCCTCCTTTGTTGTTCAAATAATATGAATTCTCTACATGTAAAGCCTAACACATGAAACCTATAGTTCTCTACCTGTGAATCATGAACTCTTTGGGGTAGAATGACCTTTCATGGTTGTCCAGTAACAGATATCCTACATATTAGATATTTATAATTCATGAGAGTAGCAAAATTACACTTATGAGGCAGCAACGAAAATAATGTTAA